ATTATATAAATCTTCAAATCTTTATTATTATTAAGGTTTTGGATAATTGTAGATTGACTAAATAGACTAAGAAATTAACAGGATTTGATTTGATAATCAAATATATTAAAGGAAAAAATAATATAAAAATAGATACTTTAAACAAATCACTAAATTACAAAAACAATAAAATCTATCAAGAAATAATAATTTTGAAATCTTTACCAAATAAAGATCTTATTTTTAATTTAACAGAAATCGTTATTATAGAAAATAAATCAATAAAGATCTGAAAGAATAAATTTATAAAAATATAATAGAATAAAAAAAGTATTAAATAATTAGAATTATCAATAATTATTGATGGATTATTTCGAATAGGGAACAAAATATAATTATCAAATAATATTGCTTTTGAATATATTATAAAACAATATATATTTTTAATTTATAGATATTAAGAAATACAAAGAATATATCTAAAAATCAAAAGGCAATATTGAAGTTCAGGATTCTATAATATAGTTAATAAAATGATTATCGAATATAATATCTGTATTAGGAATAAAGCTTTCTGTTATACTCTTTATAAACAAATAAATATTATTGAAATACTATTTATATTATAGAAATTAATATTATAAGATTTTATAGATTCATTATCAAAATCTAAGGATTCAATAATAGAAATAATATATGATTATCTTTTTATTATAATAGATAAATTAACAAAGTATTTGATATTTATATTATATTAAATAATATTAATTATAGAAATACTAGCTTTTATATTCTTGAAAAAGATTGTTGTAGTATATAGATTATCAAAGGAAATACTCTTTGATAAGGATAAACTTTTTATATCGAAATTTTGGATTATTTTAGTAATATTACTAAAAATAAAAAGAAAAATATCTATAATATTTCATTTACAAATTAATAAAGGAAACAAAAAAATGAATTAAATTATCGAAGTTTACTTTCAATATTATATAAATTATCAATAGAATAATTGAATAGAACTTTTATTTTTAATATAATTTGTATATAATAGTTCATTATTATAAATAATACAAATCACTCCGAATTATATCAACTATAGATATAAACTGATTGTATATTATGAATTAAGGATTATAAAAATAAAGAATCAATTTGTAATAATATAAACAAAAAGATTTAAAGAAATCTATAAAGAAATAACAATAAAGTTGAAATTCGTTATCGAAAGAAATATATATTATTATAATCAGAAATATAATCAGGAATTAATATTAAAAGAAAAAGATAAAGTTTATTTACTTCGAAAAAATATCGAAACAAAAAGATCTAATACAAAATTAAATCATAAGAAACTCGAATCATTCAAAATCAAGAAAATTAAAGGATCCTTGAATTATAAATTGATGTTATCAAAAAATATGAATATATATCTAGTATTTTATATATCCTTATTCGAATTAATACTTTTAGAAATATTTAAAGCTTTTGAAACAGAAATTATATCTATAAATCAAGATATTGAATACAAAATAAAGAAGATATTAAATTATAAATATATTAGAAATAAAATCAAATACTTAATAAAATAAAAAGATTACCTTAATTCCGAAAATATATAGGAATTTGAAAAAGAGACTAAATATCTAAAAAGGTTTTAAAAGTTTCATCAATAGAATCCGGATTTACCTAAAAAGAAAAAGAATTTATCATTTTCTATAAAAAGGGATCAAAAGAATCGAATTCGTTTATAAGAATTTCGTTGAAGTTGATAAAATCAATTGATAATTGATCAAATCGATTAGAGATTAATTGATCAAATTGATCAGAAAGCAACAAAAAAGTTGTAGGAATTTCTTTATTCTTTTCTTTTCGTTTTTTTTCTTTGAAAATATTAAGTTTATTAAGGTATTTGAATTCACAATATAATATTTCATTGTGTTGTTTTTTGAGTTGTATTTTCTATTTAATAAAACAAATAATCTTAATAGAAGATTCAACAATTTCAGTATCCAATTTATCAATCTATCGATCAAAACTCTTCCAATTATATTTTCGAAGAATTTCATAATCCCAATTATCTTTCAAACGAAGTGTAACGATCTGGTTGAGGCAGCGGCTGCCTCAGGTTTTCGTATGGTTGGTAGTTGTAGGTTAAGACTAATAATCACTGGTTATCCACTCGAAGGTGAATACGTTACTAGATCAATTGGAATGTAGATAAACTAATTGATAACTAAGTTGAACACGAAGCTCCTAAACTATGAAACTATTCTGACTATATACTAATCCATTTTGGGAGCCTCCAGGAGCCCACGCTCCTGGAGGCTCCATCACGTGACTAGGATCAGACCATATGTCCGAACTTGCTGAAGGTGGGGAGACCATACGAAGCGGTTGCCATACAAATTTGTATACAAGTTGCTTTGCTTTTCAACAAGGTCAAAGCTCATAGGGACAGGTTGACTGTTACCTCGTGACACTCTATAAAATGATTTCGTGACACGAAACTCAGCATTATATGAAACGGAATTTCATATATATTCTAAATAACACAAACAATATTTATTAAAGATTAATAAAATCAATAATTGTAATTAAATATATATATTCCTTTTTCTTTTTCGAATTAAATTATTAAAAAAATTAGAATTATTTATAACGAAAAAAGAAAGATAAATAAAATATAAAAAAAGAAAAAATATTAATTACTAAATGAAATCTAAAGGGTTATAAATAATTAGAATAATATTTAACTAAAAAGAAGATAATATTATAATTTACAATTAAAATAAGAATATATTAAAGAATAATAATCAATATATTCATATAAGTTTAGGCTTTATCGAAAAGCAAAACGATTTGTATATAAATTTATATAATAATCGCTTTATATAGTTTCTTTATCTTTAATAAACTCGGATATATAATCTGATCCTAATTATATAATAAGAAGCTCTGAAAGCTTCGAAAGCTTCTAGAGCTCCAGGAGCTTTTTGAAGCTCTAAGGTTTCACAAAGTTCCTTTATATTCATTAATATATAATCAGAATAGTTTCATAGTTTAAGAGCTTCATACTCAATTTAATTATTAATTAGTTTATTTATATTCCAATTGATTTAGTAACGTATTCACCTTCGAATGGATAACCAATGATTATTAACCTTAATCTACAACTACCAACCAGACGAAAACCTGAGGCAGCCGCTGCCTCTACCAGATCGTTACACATTGATTCGATTAATATTATTAAATGATCTAATAACTTATTAGAAAATCTTACAGATTTTAATAAAATTGAAAAATTTCAATTGAATGATTTCAATAAAGTTGAAAAAAGTTCTAAATCAAATTTACTTAAAATTATAAAGTTTATATCAAACTTTTGTTAAATTATTTATCAAAATATTTACTAAAGTATTTGTCACGATTCACGGTTTTCTTTATAGTAGTATTATTGACGTCGGTGATTTATATGCCGATTACAGGGGGGGTGTAATTTAACCGTTGCTTTCGGGGGTCTTGATTACCTAAGCCTAGGACCCCAGGATTCCTAGGATAAGTATCTTAGGCAATTATAGTAGAATAGGACAAGTGTTTTATTTAATTGGTTGTAATGGGATTATTACCTTAGAGGATATCGTATTCTAGGATTATAGTTTCTAGAGGGAAAGCTTCTGGGACAAATGTTCCAGGAAAGGAAAGGCCTTGGGATAAGAGAAGCCTTAGGATCAATTATGTGATGTGTTAGCTCTGCTAGCCAATTAGCAAAGCTAATATTACAGGAATGCTAGTTATGCTAACCAGTTAGTATAGCTAGTATAGGAAAAGAGATTAGTATATAATCAGAATAGTTTTATAGTTTAGGAGCTTTGTGCTTAACTTAGTTATCAATTAGTTTACCTATATTCCAATTGATCAAGTAACGTATTCACCTTCGAGTAGATAACCTATGATTATTAGCCTTAACCCACAACTATCAACCAGACGAAACCCCGAGGCAGCCGCTGCCTCTACCAGATCGTTACAGTATTTTAAACAAATCAGATTATCAAAATCATAATTTATTTAAATGAATTTTTCATTTTCTATTATCTATATTAAATAAACTTTATATATAATAAAGTTTTAATATCAATAAACTAATAATAAATTAATTGAAAAAAGATTAATAACTTCAAAATTTTTATTACATTGAAGAATTTTTATTTATATAAAAAAACTCTTAAATAATATAAAAAGAATAATAAAAGTTTTAATCTTTTTTAGTCTCTTTTTAATCCTTTTGATTTATTTTAAATATAATTAATTTTTTATTATTATCAATTTATCAATATCAAAACCTTATTATATATATAATATATTATAATTTACAATTTAATTGAAATCATTCAAATTATTCAATTCAATTTTATTCATTCAATTCATCTTATTCAACTCAAAATAATAATAATAATAAATAATATAAAATATTATTATAATTATTATTTTAAACAAAATTTTGATTTTCAATTATCAAAACAAATTAATATTCTACCTGTACTTTAATATATATTTAATATTTAAATTTATTATTAACTTTTAAACTTTAAATTTTTATTAAACTTTCTCGAAAAGCCAGGGGTTCGGGGCGCAAGCCCCTGGTAATAATATAATATATATGAAAATAAATAAAAATAATTTTTATTTATTAAGTCTATATTAAAATCTATAATTGTTAATGAATTTTTAATATATTAAATAATAATTAAATAAAGGCCTAAATATTACTTTTTATATTAAAGTTAAAATTAAAATATTTTAGATTTTTTGAAGATTTTATAATAATACTTTATATACTTCTTATTGACTAGTTTATAGAATTTTAAATAAATAAAAAAAAATTTAAAAATGAAATAAAGAATACTTAGTTTCTACAATTACAAACTTTATATCAAATATCTATAAAAATCAACAAAATCACAACAGTATAATAAGTCAAAAGTAATAAAAAATTGGAGGAGAAGAAAAGTATATTCTGCCTCTCTAATGAGAATGTAAAAGTTAAAAGTAGGTATCTAAAAGTACCCAAATGATATACAACTATAGTATAATCTAATTATCTACTCCTAAGCAAATTAAAATTCACGCCAACACAAAGAGTATCAATCTATAAACACAAGATGATTTAAACAATCCAAAAGTCCTTCCCATCTATAACATCTAATAACCGTAACGGAAATTGAGGGAATCAATCTTCAGTTCCTTCGATTCCACACGTGAGAATGCACTCATTCACTCATGCTCATTCCTCATCAACAATATCAACATCAACTCAATCAATCCCTTTGAAAGCATCTACTCAGCTCCCTTCGTCTTCTTCGTTCTCAGCTTCATCAACAAAAACACCAACGCATACCCACTGAAACAATACAATGCGCAAATCCCTGCATCCCTCCATCCATAACTATATTCCTTCAAATTGAGAGTCTTCAACTGATCCATTCCAATCTTGTACTCACAAACCTTACATCCACTCGTCGCATCAGGGTTTACTAAATTGGCAGCGGCTCCTAATCCTTGAAGATACGAAGCCAAATACTCGCCACAAGTACCATTTGCGGGATTGAAGATGGCGAATTCAGATTCGTGGCACGTGACGGGAGAATCCCATGTTGTGAAGACGAGGAGAGACCCAATGAGATAATTGAATGGATTGAGATAGTACATCCAGTATCTCCAAAACGCTGTGATTTGTGCATAGGGTACCAAGACACCGCAGAAAGATACGAGTGTTCCGATGACAAGTGGATTGACCAGCGAGGCGAATAGAACGTTTGGTGCGTAAGCGGCAATGAATTGTCCGATTCCCGTGTAGATGAATTCATAACAGATCATGACGAAAAGGACAGAGCCGGCTTTTTGGTTATCGTTTGGAAAGCCAACAGTGTAGTACCAACAGACGAAGTAGACAATGGCGCAGAGGACGAGGTAAGGGATTTCAGAGACGACGTTTCCAGTTGCAAAGGCCCACCAGGAATACATCTTTGATTTTTTCTCACGAGTTTCGTAGATGTCTCTTCGTTCGATGAAGAGTGGTTGCAATTGTGCCAACACACCCGGCGCGACGAAAATAAAGTTGAAGACGGTGAAAAGACGAAGTTGGAGTCCTGCAACAGAACTTTTGATCATCCAGAAAGTGAACCCGTTGAACAGAGCAGAACTAATGTGCAATGCAAATTTATTGTTGATGTAGTCCGTGTTACGGTAAATGGAAACGTTCATGCGATGAGTCACGAGTTTGACTTGATCCCAAATAGGCATGGCGAATTCAAATCCATCGTCTGTTGTTCCTGGTGGTGCGGCGGCAGAAGTTTGGATGATGTGGTCTAACTCTTTGACGGTGTACTGGTATTCGGGGGAGTTGAGCCATACTTCGTTCCAGTCTTTACCTTTGCTTAGGGCACCGGAAACGACGTCGATCATGTGTTCAGCAGGGTTGGAATGTTCAGGACAGGCTGCATCGTAGCGGGCAAAGTACTCCTTGATGGTTTTTGAATCTTCGCCGATGTCTCCAAAGTAGACGGTTTTACCTCCCTTGGCGAGGAGCAAGAGAGAATCGAATTGAGCGAAGAGTTGGGCCGAAGGTTGATGAATAGTAACCAAAATAGCTTGACCAGCATCTGCCAATTTTCTCAAGAATCGTACCGTGTTAAAAGCAGCTTGTCCATCAAGACCAGAAGTAGGTTCGTCCAAGAAGATAAGAATCGATGGTTTGGAAACAAGTTCCACACCAATTGTCAAGCGCTTTCTCTGTTCGACACTCAATCCTGCTCCTGTGGTTCCAATCAAAGTATTCTCCATGTCATGCATTTCCAAAAGATTGACAATGGTATCAACATATTTCAATTTCTCTGCGTCAGGAGTGGTTCGCGGTTGTCTGAGAAGTGCAGAAAATTCTAATGCTTCGCGTACAGTAGCAAATGATTCATGTACATCCAATTGTTCACAATAACCAGCCGAACGTTGGAAAGAAACAGAGAGGGGTCGACCATCAACGAGAATAGATCCTTTGATTGTCCCGTCCGTTTTGCGTTGCGCGAGTACATCGAGAAGTGTCGTTTTTCCTGCTCCGGATGATCCCATAAGTGCACCCAACATACCGGGCTTAACCCATCCTTGTACATTGTCGAGGAGAACCCGATCGCCCGATGGTGTCTTGACGGTGTAGGTGAGGTTTTTCCAGGTGAATACAGAGGTGTTGCGAACTAATTGCTCATCGCTTCCACTTTCTACCTTGGTGTCTTGAGACGCGGGACGAGAATTCTTGGGGCTTTTTTCCTCTACAGCTTGTGCTTCCTCATCACCTGCCATGGCAGCCTTCAGAATGGCAGTAGTCTTCTTAGCTTTCTCTCTAGGAATCAAAAGAATGCCGGATTTTCCACCAGAGGCACTCCAGTTATTGGTACAGTAGATGGTAATTGCAACGAATAAAGCCCAGAAGGCCCAGACGATTCCGAAGTTTCTCCAGATGTTGGACGAAGCGTATGAGAGGGAAGCGAGATATTGTTCTCCAGTGACGCTGGTAGCTCCTGGTAAGGCTCCTCCTACACCGGCACAAGATTGGTGTGCTACATCGGTATATCCCGGTCCATTTGGAACCAAATTGTTTCCGACGCAGGGTATAACAGTGCCTTTGAACTCATTTGCGAGGATAGCTGAGAATCCATATGCGAGGGGATCAATCCAGTAAATCCAGACAAACCAAGGATGCATTTGTGGTTTGCGAATCATGTAACCCGTGTACATAATAAGGGCAGTGATCAAGAGACCGGAGATCTTACTCGCCGCATCGAAATTCGAGAAGGCAGCTCCGACGGCTCGGAACAAAGCAGTCATACACATAGACACTGCAAAAATGATGATCCAATAAGTGAAAAAAGCACCAGCGGTTGTTTTCAATCCAACCATGAAATACACGACGAGTGAGAAATGCGTTATCTGTACAAAGAGAACCGGAATATCAGCCGCGATTTGACCCATACAAAAAGCAGCTGGATGATACAAAGCAAAGGTTTTATGTTTAGCGAGGATTGGACGACCGGTGAACGAATCAGTGACTTCGGACATGGCAAGAAGAGAGTTGAAGAGGAGAGAGAAGAAAAGGGCACCAGATTTCAGGAAAAGACCGCCAGAGTTGTTAGGAGAACTGTAGAAGAGCGAACCGGCGATGAGGGCTTGGGCAAAGGTGGCAAGTTGTTTGATGAAAAAGGTGGCTTTGTCTCCCCAAATGATTTGATATTGTCGGGTAACGCAAGCTTTGACCTGGGTGACGAAACTGGTGCTGAGAGGAGAATCTTTGCTCAGCTTGGGACTCTTTTGATGTTGAACCGAGTGAGCGAAATCGGTTGTTCGTTGTTTGGCGATGTCGGTGGTGGGATAGTTGTATTCTAATTCCATCTTGGCTCTGATAGGGTTGTCGGTGTATGATTTGAAGATCTCGTTGGCAGTCCTAGGGAACCGATCTTCAAAGCCGGGTCTGATTTTTCGCTCAGTTGGTACCTGTTGTAAGATGCGATCAGTATGGAATTGTGCGTACCAAAGGGAAGAAAGAACATACCGTAACACCAGTCAAGAAATCAGCAACATTAGCAGAATCATCGCAAATGAATCCCAGATCTTCCATAAAAGGTCTTGCTTGTTTCATTGGTCCATAGTAAATCTGCTTGCCTTCATCCAAAACCAAAACCTTGTCGAAGAGATTGTAGATACCGTTACCGGCTTGATACAAAGTAATGATACTGGCCAATCCAAAAATGTCCGTCAATGCTCTGATAGCTTTGGTATATTCCAAAGCCGTACTTGCATCCAAACCTCTTGTTGAGTTATCCCAACACATCACACTTCCCCTAGTAGCAAGCATCTCAATAATAGAAACACGTTTTCGCTCACCACCAGAAACACCTCTCACGAACTCATTTCCCACTTTAGTATCATGAGTGTGTGAGATGCCCATACTCTTCAGTAAGAAATCTCGAGTCGTTTGTTGGTACTCCTCTGGTGTAGTTGTGTTGGAGGGTAAATTATGTGGAACCTTCATCCTCGTAGCGAAATCGATTGTTTGTCCGACAGTGAGTGTAGGAAAGAAGAGTTCTTCTTCGGTATTCATGACGATTTGTCCTCGATATTTCTTTGCTTCGATATGATTCATGGATCCATAATGAATATCACCCGTAACCTCTGCATATCCCAATCGGTTGTTGGCAATCATCTTCAGTAGAGTCGTGCATCCGGCTCCAGGTCTTCCAAGAACTAATAACATCTCTCCAGGTTTGACACATCCATGAGAATTATCGACGAGAGTCCTAAGTGGTGGCTTTGTTCTTCCTTCCTTGATGATCTTCGGGAGATTGAACTGGGATAAAACATTCTCATTAATAGCTGCATCAGCTCCGATTCCCTTAACCGTCAAGTTCTGCCAAGTTACTCCCAAATCTCTTCTTTTGACTTGGTCTTTTTCTTCTTGATTTCGTACAGCTTGAATCTCAGGCATCATACTCCAATCTTCGGCCATACTTATTGGCTGATCCTTATTATCTTCGTCTGAATTATCGTAAGCCCTCTGTCCTCTTCGTTCCGAAAACGCTGATGACGCTGAAAGGGCACGTGTAAGTCCATTTCCATACCCTTCGTGTTCTCGAACAACCGAAGCAAAGCCTTCCGGCTCAGTGTCTGCCATGATAGGCAATTGTGGTATTGATATGAAACTATCGATAGGGAAGAATCCACCGAAAATATGAAAATGTATTAAAAATAATCACTGGATAAAAAGTCCTCAAGTAGAGGTAACAAGAAAATTAACTTAAGAAGAGTATTACTTTGCATTAATGAGGGGGCACCGAGTTTTAAGTAACCTGTATCCATCGGACTGTAAACATCGCGAGGTAAGCAAATGCAGGACATACTAATCATCTAGACCCACCAAAACAATCAACTAGTGATAAAAAATTCCGATACCGACACTACGGGCTGTTGTCAATTTCAAAGGACATCCTATGTGCCCGTAATTACACCAAGCAAACCGCCAAAATAACGTTTTCCGCATTCCACTCGGACAAGTTGAACACCGACACAGTGCGCACGACGCCAAAACGCCAAAACCCCACCATGAAGGGGGCGAAAACTTACCTTCTTCAACTATCTCGAAACGGAAACTTTTCCATGTGATAATCTGTTGAGAAATTTCTCATTCGTCACGATTAAATAGACAATAAACATATACGACGAATGTGACAGACAACAGAGAGATTCTAATTCCGACTTCCCGATGTATTCAACAAAGAGCCGTGGGAATCAAAGTACCTTGTACTCGGTTCTTGCTCAAAAGTCCGCATAGTCCGAGCTAGATCTTTAAACCCCTAAGCAGCCCTACCACCAAACGTGGGCAGGGTTATCGCATTGATACATGCTGTCATTGACTCATTGGACATCTACAGCCAAAACTTAGATTGAACTTCACCAAGAAAGCTTCTCACCATTTTACGTCACAAATTTCTTCGCCAATATTCCGTTTGTAAGGTTCAAATGCATCGACGTGTCGCCATAGATCGTGGATAAGCTCGTCATGCACTTAGCCTTCTCCTTTGATACAAATCCTACAAGATTCGTGCGGTTCTGGTATTGGGCCTCTGAGCGGACAAAGTATGACCGATTCTGCCTGGAATTCCTGGTGAAAATTCCTTGTTGTTTCTTTGTGTTGTCAGGTATAAGAGCGGCATAATAGGGGCACGACAAAAGAATTTTGCAGGCTCATCGTTCACCGTCCCTCCACTGTAGACCTATATTCGTTCGTTCATCCGATCCCGTCAAAGTTCCACTAATCGCGCTTTTTGACATCTTCTACCACCGATGCAAAAGTATCTCGCTCGATCTCACCTTAAAAGGTTTGGTATCCCCAGCCCCTTGACACTCATGCACCGATGACAGTGTAAGGTATTTTCCACCCCCTAGTTCTTCCCATGAGCTCAATAATTAACATCTTACACGAACTCTCCACCGCAAACAAAATTCAAAGCTGAGGTTGGTGGGTGGGGCCATCCAACGGAAAACTCAAAAAAGCCCGTGATTTCCGCGTTACGCCACTAAACGCATCTAGAATAGCACTAGAAATGAGATCCATGTGCAGATTGCATAATCGCGGACAATCGAACAATAATCACGGAAGCTTTTCTTAGAACGGTAGAAGGAATACTAATCGATGTAGCACACACTGCTATCACACAATAGCTCGCTAATTTAGCTAACCGCTAGCAAGGGCTAAACGCCTAGCTGAGCCAATACGTGAAATCCTGCTGTGCTATTCGTACCAGCACAGCACTAAGATCCCACTAAATCGTCCAAATCTCCACTATAGGAAGTATTATCTTCGATTAGTTTGAAGGTGTTGTATAAATTGAAGGAAAACTTCCAGTACATATAACAAGATCGGGCTTCTGGCGCAATGGCAACGCGTTTGACTTCGACTTCTATTAGAAATAATAGCTGATTCCGGCATCAAAAGATTGCAGGTTCGATACCTGCGGGGCTCAATTCGTTATCTTTTTGTCTTTTGTCTCACAGAAGTGTGTACAACGCCTGTTTGCACACCCCAAAACTTTGCGAAATGGCCCACCCATCCATCCATCCATCCATCATCATCCATCATCATAGGTTAAAAAACAAATCATTTTATACATTCTGCAAAGAAATGAATTGAAGGTTGGATTAATTACGATTTTTGGTCGGGAAAGCATTTTTGTGGAATCCATCCACCCACCACTACTTGCAGCGGGAGGAAGTTTTACTTAGCGCTAGGTTGCAGGATTGAAGAAAGGCGGACGGAGAAATAAATATCATGCATTTTTAATTGGGTGATAGGGGATGCGTTAGTCTACGGAGAATGCCCCGCCTGGGGAAATGACGTGACATCTAATTGGACCGACCTTAATTTGAGCAGGGAGCACCTCAGCATGAAAGATAACAGCAAGTACGGACAACTAAGATCGGTATTCGGGAGAGTCTCTCTGTCACCCATGTCCGTCCCCAGGGATGAAAGAAGCGTTTAAGTTCATCCAAGAGTTCCACTGCAGCTGGTGAGAGCTTATTTTTTGACAGCATTGAGCGAATACACGGGGTAGGAATTGTCCATTTCCTCTGTCTTCGACTAGGCATGTTCACAGCGACTATATGTGGGGCCATCGAGGATCATGTATAATGGTCCATCATGCAAGGCATTGTAGCCAGACCAGTATCAGAGATTCGACTTCGGCATCTCATTTTCTTTGCTTGCTTCATTCATTATGTAGGCAACTTTGCACTAATAACATAATAGAAACTCTTCCATCTGTCACGTCATCGAACGCACAGGACTGTACCGGCAAACGGCCATGTTTGCATTGCCTGTGATGAAATAATTATCCTTTGTATTGCTTCGCGTCGTTGGAACATAAAAGAATCGCGACGCAACTGAGACGCTGTCTCGTTTAACCTTTAACTTGATGACTGTCTAGAAAACAAATGAGCTTCAGTTAAGTTTTTCCGGATGAATATTCTCTATGTCCATTGAATTATATAACTCGGTTAATAATGAATGGATTTGTATTTCAATACTTTTAATTCTGATTGTTTGTTGATATAGCAAACAAACAAGCGTTAGTTTGGCCGGGGTTCTACCGTGAACCAACAACATCACTCGCTCCGCAAAAGTTACTTCTCGACTCAATCCACACAATTTTGATACAACTAAAGCAATTTTTATCTGTACATATACCTTCATAGGCTTTCATTAATTTCTAGTTTCTATTTCCCATTCTCCAAATATGGATACCCTCTCTTCCCGATGCCTTCAAAACATCTCATCAGAAGAAATCCGAAATTTCATGGGTACAGTGTTTGGTAATCCGTGGTCAGAAGAGAATCCAGATGGTATTTTCCCTATGGGAATTGCGGAGAATAGACTTATGTATGTCTGTTCTCGAGCTGGGAAGTTGTGTTTCGTCTTGGTGGTAGGATTACTGAAGTAATTTTTTAGGCATCATGAAATTGCAGAATATATCAACAAGAATTTTAGGATAACTCCAAAAAGTATTTTATCCCACGTCTTCCATCTTACTTCAAAATAAGAAAAATAGTAACAAAATTCAGTGCTCACATACGGAGATGGTCCAACTGGTTCTTTCGAATTACGGGCTGCTCTCGCCGGATTCTGGAACTCAAATTTCTCTCCCAAAAAATCTGTATCTAGAGACCATGTGACGGTTATGGGAGGGGGTTCTTCAATTCTTGATGCATTAAGTTATTGTATCGCAGAAGAAGATGAAGGAATCTTAGTTGCTCAACCATTTTACGTTGGATTTGTAGGGGATTTCGAGGATCGTGCAAGGTATGTATTTGACGTCTACTAGTTCTTCTATGCTAATCACGAAACAAAGGGTCAAAGTAGTCCCTGTATCAATTGGCTCACTCGAAAATGTAACTACTATCACCGGTGTCCATAAACACGAAGAAGCACTTCTTGCCGCTCGACAAACGGGTATCAAGATTAAAGCACTTCTACTTTGTAACCCACATAATCCTCTTGGAAGATGTTATGCACCAGAAGTCTTGGAAGCATACCTTTGTCTATGTTCAAAATACAATATTCATCTCATCAGTGATGAAATATATGCCCAAGCTGTTTTTCCAAATCAAGATATACCAAATCCAATGTCTTTTACCTCGATACTTTCATTAGATATCGAAAAGTTTTGTGATCCGGCTTTGGTTTGTGTGGTTTATGGTATGAGCAAGGTAAGTTTTTTTCTTAATTCTTTCAGAATCACTTACCATACATAGTGTAAGAAAATCAAATACTCAGGATTTTCCTAGGATTTTTGCTCCAATGGTCTACGTATCGGATGTATCATCTCACAACATAATCCCATCCTTCATCGAACTGTAGGAGCAATAACAAAATTCGCATGGGCATCTTCACTGTCGGATCATGTATGGACATTAATGCTAAATGATCAAAAATTCCTCGATTATTATTTCTCAACTCTTAGTCAAAGAATGACTACTGCATATGAAATTTGTACACAGCAACTGAAAGAATTTGAAATTTCTTATATTCCTGCGTAAGAATGATTCCTATTTGTCTATTGTCTCCGTAAGAGACAAACTAATATAATACAGCTCCTGTGGTCCTTTCATCTGGATAGATCTCCGTTCATATCTTACATCTCCAACTATCGAAGCAGAACGAATTCTCTCATGGAAGATGTTGAAATTTGGAATCTGGTTAGCTACAGGTGAAGCTTTTGCATCAGAAGAACCTGGCTGGTATCGTATTACTTTTGCTATGAGTGAGGAAAATTTGAGATTTGGTATGAATAGGTGAGTGTTTTTCCCTGGATGTAGATGCTACATGAGAAGGTTAGCAGTTGGAATTCCAGGCTGATTTGATACTAAAACTTTAACCCTTAGATTATGGAAAGTTTTAGGAACAGTGGGAGAAGAAAATAGACAACTATCAGTAGGAGTCTAGGATCTGATATCGCACCACGGAAGTTGGTAGATTAATGTGTAGAGAAACACTAGAAACCTCTAGGATAGTACAATTCTCTCCATTAATTGTAACGGAAACTATAACAATATCAACAAGCCTTTGTCAATAATATCAATCCTCCCCGCTCAATTTCAGTATTAGTTGTTGTGGCAGGGATTAACGTCTATTGGGATCTATTCGATGATAATATCGAGCATCGATATAATATTGTTTGCTGTAAGAGTTAAATACAATAGCTAATTTAAAAAGCGGAGATAAATCCTGCTTGCGGGATTTAAATTAAAAGCCTACCGACAATGGTATCAAGAGGGAGAGCCAAACCAGAGATGGAAAAATCTTTGCTATGTTTTTTTATTCGAAGGAGGATGGATATCGATTATCAAATTATCCAAGCCGATTCTAAGAAGAGTTCGTGGTGGTGTGATGGTATGTATTCCTTATGAATAATGTCATCCCTTTATTGTGCTTCGGTTGTGTTATTATTATGCTCCGTGAATGCACTAGATATTAATATAGCATATTGGCCAGGCTGATGGCTGATTGCCCAATTCCCGGGGAAGGGGGCCGCAAGAGACGCCGTGGTGTTGATGAAAATGGTGGTGAAATTTACTGAGTTTGAAAATTCCAAACCCCGATCTAACGCCGACCCCCCTACTAACAGGGTTTTAATTTGAGATCTTCATTGTAGTTTAGTATGCTCTGTATGAAATTAGACAGTGTTGTATGATTTGATTTGCATCCAATGATGCCAAGTCACTCACTCACTCACTGTTCGGTTAATCATCAACCTCGATCGGACCAAAAATCTCTCAGTAGATAGGTGTGAAGGAGTTTGATCTTAAAACATATAAATAAATATACATAAAAAACTTCAAAAAGAATGCTTCATGAGCTCAGAATCTCTCTGACGGGGAGTCGAACCCCGGTCTCCCGCGCTTTGCCATTTTAGTGACAAGCGGAAATCATCACCGTTAGACCATCAAAGACCATCGAGGATGTTGCTTTTGTTGGGGATAAGTTTCAGATGTAAGAATATATTCTATGTGTTGGAAGTGGTGGGGTAAGCGAAAATGAAAAAGTGGGGTAGTAGAAGTACAGTAGATGTCACGGACCTCGTATAAAGGGCGATCACGTGATTCCAATTGATCGATAATTGCTATCGGTGAGCTGGTAGTCTGTGCACTTGAGTTCTGATTTACCCTTTTTAGTATGGGGTTATGGTCACTTTAATAACCAATGTGTACAACCGTGCAGCTACCGTATAGGTATTTTGTATATATATATAGATGCTACCTACAAGTCATAGTTTTTCAATTGTAGATTCTAAGAAATATATTTAATCCTGTTTATTCGGCTCTTATGAGGCTTTCGTTTATTACAGTAGATATAATATAAAATAAATATTTTCTTTTTATTAAATTATTATATTATTAATTAAATTAAAAAAAAGAAAATTATTATTTAATTCTTATCTTTATTTAAACTTGTATCAAATTATCAAGGGCCTGGCCCCGGACCCCTGGTTTTCGAGAAATTTTAATGAAAATTTAAGTTTTAAAAATTTATAATAAATTTAAATATTAAATATATATTATAATATAGACAGAATATCAACTTGTTTTGATAATTAAAAATTAATTTTTTCAAAAATAATAATAATAATTAATATTATAAATAATATAGAATATTATTATTATTATTATTATTATTATAAATTGAATGAGATGAATTAAATGATCTAATTGAGTTGAAAAAAGCTCTGAGTTAGATTTGTTTAAAATTATAAGATTTATATCAAGTTTTTTGTTAGGTTATTGTCACGATTTACGATTAAAATAAGGATATGTTGAGGGGCAGCAGTCAACATGTCCATATGAGTTTAGGCCTTATCGAAAAATAAGACGATTCGTATACAAATTTGTATGATAATCGTTTTATATAATCTTTTCACTTTTAGCAAGCTCGGATATATAATCTGATTCTAATCATATGATAAGAAGTTCTAGGAATTTCGAAAACTTTTAGAACTTCAAAAACTTTTTGAAGTTTTAAAGCTCTATAAAACTTCTTTATATTTATTAATATATAATCAAAATAGTTTTATAATTTAAAAGCTTTATATTCAATTTAGTTATCAATTAATTTATTTATATTCCAATTGATTTAATAATATATTCATTTTCAAATAAATAATTAATGATTATTAGCTTTAATTTATAACTACCAATTATATGAAAACCTGAGGTAGTTACTACCTCAATCAGATTGTTATACTTTGAGTATCGTTATAGTTAAATTATATATAATACAATAACTTTCAATTAATAATTCATCGAATCGTCTTTATTCAATTCAATTAAGGCTTTTATTCAAATTGTTATTATTATGGAATATAGACAAGCAATTTAAATATCTATCTTTAATCTATTCTATAAAGATTGTAACAAGTATCGAACTTTTATTATACAAATTGATTTCTATTATACTTTTAATAAATAACTTTTCTTGATTTTTATATAAAGGATTTTATAATTGATTTTCTTTTTCTAAGGAATTATATTCAATTGAATTAAATCATTCTTCAATAATCTAATAATCAAGATTATCAATAATTAATTAAACAAAAATATGAAATCTAAGATTTATTGTTTATTCCTCAATTATAAATTGTTTAGATAGGGATTCGATAAAATATTTAGGGAAGTAGATCTCGATTATATAATTAAAAGAGTATTATAATAATTCAGATAAATTAGATCAATTATAGTTTATATTATTAAGTTTCAATAATATATTAAGTATATTATATAGAATAATAACTATCTAAAATTATAATTTTATAAAGGATTAAAAGATATCATTAAAAACAAATTAACAAGAACTTCGAAACTATTTAATCTTTCTGAATTAATCGAAACCTTTATTTTCATTAACAATCGATTCTATAAACAATAAATAAAAAAGAAAGAAATCATCTAAAAAAACAAGAAATTCCAAAAACCTTATCGTCAGAACAGATATTACGATACCAATAATCCAATAGAATTGAATAGTATCGAATGATGTTATATAAAATTAAACAATCTAAATGTTAATGAAAAAAAGAGATATAAAAAGAACAATTTATATTTTATTTATAGAAAAAACAAATATATATTCTAAAATTGTTTTCAAAAGAAGAAATTATTTATCGTAAGAAATAGAAAATAAATAAAATTTGGGAATAGAAGATAAGATTTTCGAAAAATAAAGATCTTGAAAGGAAACTTAAAAAAAATAGAATTATTGGAAAAAGATTTACTTCAATCCAATTCTAAGCAATTAAAAGAATTGAGTATCAATAATCAAAACTTTAGAATTAATATTAAGAACAATATTGATTACAAGAAAGAACTCTTAAAAAACTTTAAATTAAAAAACAAAGAATTCAAAAAAGATCAACAATTAATTGAATTTCATTATCTACTTTGAGAAAATGAATTATAATATTTAATTAACTATTTAGATAAAAAACAGATATAGTATCATTATAGAAAAAAGAAACCTGATTTTATCAAGAAATATAAAATCTATAATTATCTCATTTTATTAACATTTTATATAGTAATATATAATGATATTTATTGTATAATATTTAAAGAAAATATTAAGACAAACAATATTAGGAGATATATTGTAGATATAGGTTCTTTATTTTCCGATAAAATGTAGAAATATAATAAGTGTGATCTGAAAATTGAAGAAGTATAAGAGATTCTATTACAAATTAGAACTCGTTGTATCTAACGAAAGATCGATAAAGATAACGAAGAAGTATCAAATCAAGATTATTATTGAAACTTCCAAATAAAATTAATAGGATTATTATTCATTATATTTTATCGATTATTGAGTATAAACGAATATTAATATGAATGAATAAATCTCTTTATTGAAGAACAAACTATCGAACTTTTATTATTAGAACTCAATAATATTATAAAAATCAAGCAATTGATTATAGAAATCAAATTAAAGAAACAATAGATTAATATTTTAATTGATTCTGGAATTATAAGTATATTCATAAATCCCAACTTTGCAAAAAAGAATAAAATTCCTACAGAATTAAAACAGGATTTCTATCAATTGATATTATTAAAAGGAAAGAAAGCTGGAATTGATAGTTAAATATACAAAGAAATCAATATTATCAAGATGATTATACCAGATAGATATACCAAACAGATCAAAATGGATTTAATGTTATTAAGTAGATATACAATTATCTTTAATATCTTATAAATTAAGAAACACAATTCAAATATTGATTAGATAAGAGATATTTTAATATTCGATTATTATAATTATAATAACAAATAATTATATAATCCAAAGGAACAGATTTCCAGGGAGATTAAATATTGTATTATAATAATAATAAATCCTCTATTGATCAATAGAACCAATGAAAAAGAAATTCTAGTGTAATATAGAAGATTCACTAAATTCTTTGAAGATCTATAGAATTTGAAGGTTTTATCAAAATATAAATTTTGGGATTATAAGATCAATTTCAAAAAGGGATTTATATCCTTTATCGAAAAGTTGAAGTTATATAATCCTAATATTATACAAGTATAAAAAGAATATAGGATTAAAATTAAAAAGAAAAAATAAATTAAGAAATCCAAATCCCTTTGTATATCTAATATATTATTAATATTCAAAAAAAGCGATTTAGATGGTTAGTTTTATAAAGATTACTATTAGGTTAATAATAGAACAATCAGAAATATATATCTAATATCGAAAGTCTAAAAGTTAAAAAATAAATTGAATAAAACAGTAATCTATACAAAATTAAATCAAAAAAATGTTTTCAATTTGATATAGATAAAAAAGGATTACAAATAGAAAACAGTCTTTATATTATTATTGGATTTATAAGAATATATAATTATATTATTCGGTTTAATTAATATATTAGTTATATATCAATAATAAAATAATAAAATACTCAAAGAATTCAATTTATTTATAATCTATTATTTGAATGATATTTTAATCTTCTTTCAAAAAGAAAAAAAATATAAAGAATATATATTGAAAATACTCGAAGCATTTAGAAAAATAAATTCAAAACTCAAACTATCGAAATATAAATTTGAAGTACGAAAGGTAACATTTCTAAGATATATTATTCAATCAGAACAAATGAATATAGATTTTGAGAAAACAAAAAAGGTAAGGAATTGAGAACAATTTAGAAATATCAAGGATATATAATCCATACTAAGATTTATCAATTTCTATTGAATATTCATAAAAGACTTCTCG